GGCGCGTGCTGGCTTCACTCGAATTAATGAATATAATGAATAAATGAAATGAAAGATAACAGCGGATGACAGTAGAAAATGGGGAAAGTTGTTTTTGGAAATAATACATGGTTGAGAATTTATGATGGAAGTTTGACTAATAATTGATGTTTGATGAAGCAACTATGTTGACCGTGTTTCCAGTGATGAGAGTGAAAATCATATGCAATACTTTAATAATGGTATCCTAAAAGAGACGGCAAAGGAGACGGTATGAATAAGTATTTTAAGATCGAAACTTGTTATTCGCGTTAGAAAGCAAAGGAGGAACAGTGTATACATACAAACATACATATAAACATACAGACATACATATAAACATACAGACATACATATAAACATACATATATATATATATATATACAAACATAAATATAAACATACATACATACACATAAACATAAAAACATTCATAAAAATATACATACATATAAACATGCATACATGCATTAAACATATAAACATACAAACATACAGAAACATACAAACATACATATAACCATATAAACATACAAACACATATAAACATACGAACATACATATAACCATACAAACATACATATAAACATACAAACACATATAAACATACAAACATACATATAAATATACGTTAAATGCACACATACCTAATTAATTATTTACTTACTTTCCTATTCACATCCCTCCATCCATTCATACGTTTGTTAATGACTCAATTACACAGTTTTATTATTTAATCAAATTGTATGGGGGACAAGAAATATTGAAACGTTTCCTTTTCTTTCATTCTTTTTTCTTCTCTTTCTCTCTTTCTTTTCCTTCTCTTGTCTTCTTTCTTATCTCCTTTTCTTTCTCTCTCTCTTTTCCTTTTCTTGTCGTCTTCTTTTTTATCTCCTTTTCTTTCTCTCTCTCTTTTCCTTCTCTTGTCTTTTTTCTTATCTCCTTTTCTTTCTCTCTCTCTTTTCCTTCCCTTGTCTTTTTTTTTTCCTCTCTCCTTTTCTTTTTCTCTTTCTTTTCCTTTTCTTGTCTTCTTCTTTTTTATCTCCTTTTCTTTCTCTCATTCTTTTCCTTCTCTTGTCTTTTTTTCCTCTCTCCTTTTCTTTTTCTCTTGCTTTTCCTTTTCTTGTCTTCTTTTTTATCTCCTTTTCTTTCTCTCTTTCTTTTCCTTCTCTTGTCTTCTTTTTCTCTCTCCTTTTCTTTCTCTCTTTCTCTTCCTTCTCTTGTCTTTTTTTCTCTCTCTCTTTCTTTTCCTTCTCTTGTCTTTTTTTTCTCTCTCTCTTTCTTTTCCTTTTCTTGTCTTCCTTTTTCTCTCTTCTTTTCTTTTACTTTTTCTTTTCCTTCTCTTGTCTTCTTTTTTTCCCTCTCTCCTTTTCTTTCTCTCTTTCTTTTCCTTTTCTTGTCTTCTTTCTTATCTCCTTTTCTTTCTCTCTTTCTTTTCCTTCTCTTGTCTTCTTTTTCTCTCTCCTTTTATTTCTCTCTTTCTTTTCCTTCTCTTGTCTTTTTTCTCTCTCTCTTTCTTTTCCTTCTCTTGTCTTTTTTTTCTCTCTCTCTTTCTTTTCCTTTTCTTGTCTTCTTTTTTTCTCTCTCTCCTTTTCTTTTACTTTTTCTTTTGATTGAGGCCGAGAGACTTCGACGCCGGGGAGGGGGAAAGTAGTGATCCAAATCTGAGAAAGCCAGTCAAAAAAAAAAAAAAAAAAAAAAAAAAAAAAAAAACGTGGGGCCTTAATTGGTTATGGTAATGCCTACACCTGCATGGCTGCTGGGTCTTAACCGCAAACTACTGGGGTGAGAGATAGGGTGGGGGGTGGGGGGCGGGGGGGGGCTGTGACATGGGGAGTGGGGAAAGGGGGAGGGGAGTGGCGAGGGGAAGGGGGGAGGGGGGAAGGGGGTAGGCTGTGACAAGCGGAGTGGGGAAGGGGGAAGGGGGGAAGGCTGTGACATGGAGAGTGGGGGAGGAGTGGGAGGGGGGGAGGGGGGAAGACTGTGGCAAGGGGAATGGAGGCCTGGGAAGGGGGTGGGCGAGGGGGGGAGGGGAGGGTGTCATGAGGGGTCGAGCTGCTGATTCTCAAGTGCTGAGTTTTTTTGTTTGTTTTTTTTCTTAATCCCCGTTTCTATCTTTATTTTGTGCCTGAAATCGTCGTTATATTTCTTATCCACCTTTATCTCCGTCTCTCCCTTTCTCTCTCTCTCTCTCGAACCCTATCATTTCTCCAACCGCACTCAACATTCACAATCAAAGAAAGTCATTCTGTGCTGAAAATAGACAAACAAACCGATATATATATGTGTGACGGTGTGTGTGTGTGTGTGTGTGTGTGTGTGTGTTGTGTGTGTGTCAAAACAAGCAAAAACTAATAATCAACAATGATCAAAACAAATACCAAACAACGAGACCAGATCAACACCAATTCTCACCTCCCCACCCCCCACCCCCTTCACCGCACCCCCCTCACCCCTCTCTCTCCCCTTCTCCCCCCAACAG